TAAACCAGTATCTTTCCACAATAAATCTTATCATATCTTATCTTCTAATTTTCACTGTAAATTCAGCATGCATGACTAATAGAACCAAGGAGCTGGTACTTCCCCTCTATGCGGCATTGGTCAGACTGCAGTAGGAGTACTGTGTCCAGTTTTGGGTGCCGTACTTTAAGAAGGATGTAGATAACCTTGAGAGGATGCAGAGGAGGGCCACTCGTATGGTTAAGGATTTGCAGGCCAAGCCCTATGAGGAGAGACTAAGGGACCAGGACCTCTTCAGCCTCTGCAAGAGAAGGCTGAGAGGTGATCTTGTGGCCACCTACAAATTCATTAGGGGGGTGCAGCAAGGAATTGGAGATGCTCTATTCACCAGGGCACCTCTTGGGGTAACAAGGAGCAATGGTCACAAACTGACAGAGATCAGATTTAGGCTAGACATCAGGAAGAACTTCTTCACGGTAAGGGTGGCCAGAATTTGGAATGGGCTTCCAAGGGAGGTGGTGCTCTCTCCTGCCTTGGAGGTCTTTAAGAGAAGGCTGGATAGACATCTGGCTGGGGTCATCTGACCCCTGCGCTCTTTCCTGCTCAGGCAGGGGGTCAGACTCTATGATCTGTTGAGGTCCCTTCCGACCCTAGCATCTATGAATCTATGAATCTATCAGTAATTCATAGTTACCCAGGGCAGGTAATTTCAATATTAATACAGAAGTATTTTACAACAGACTCTTCATTATTTGGCTGATCAAACTTGACATGATAATTACAAACTTTATGGGTGTGTCCACACGAGTGCTCAAACCCCTTTGAGGCGGGGCAACAGGCACGTGTGGGAACAAAAAACATTCCCCGCACTGCAAACTTGCAGCGTGGGGAGAAAATTAGACCCTTGGATATCCAGGGGTCTAAAAAAATCGAAGTTTAAAAAAGTGAAGGAGGGCACAGTACTGTGCCCTGATGCAACTGGAGGCTGGATCCTCCATGAAGGTGCTCTGGCTGCCAGAGTGTCTCTATGGATGGCCACTTGCCCTGGTGCTGAAACACCAGGGCAAGTAGCCAAACTGGTGTTTCAGCACCAGGGCTCCAGTGTT